ACTTCATGTTCATATTTTGAGCATACAAACAAATCAACAAAATACTCGTAAAGTTTTGCAAATTTGATGAGAGTACTTAAAAATGTGAATATACAATGATATTAGGCATGTCAGGTTGGTAAATTCATGTATAAATGATAAGAAAAGATATAATATGGTTACCATATTTGCAACTGAACTCAAACCTTTTAGGATTAAGAGTGGAGATTCCTAGGATTGTTATCATATTTTGCCTACATACTGCATTTGTTCATAACAATGAACACAGGAGTGAAAATGGATGTGAGGATGACAATGAAAGCCGGGAAAAGAGTCGGTTACGGATCGTCGTTAGTTTCATGGTTTTAAAATGCGTCTGCTAAGGAGAGGTTTCCACACCTTTATAAGAAATGTTTCCTTCTCCTCTCCAACTGATGTGAAATCTCACCATCCATCCCCTTGGAGGCTCAGCGTCCTTCCTTGCTAGGACACCGCCTGATGTTTGGCTCTGATACAATTTATAATAGTTCAAGTTTACTGCTAACAGATATTGTCTGCTTTGGTCCGTTATGTATCGCCGTCAGCCTCACAGTTTTAAAACGTGTCTACTAGAGAGAGATTTTCACACTTTTATTAAAAACGTTTCGTTCTCCTCTTCAACTGATGTGAGATCTCATATTCTATGTGAGCCGAAGATTACAAGCACAGATCTTGGTCGTTTGGGGCTGTCCTCAGCATTAGCTGCGGACATGTTCAGCCAACGTGCAGTGGCCATTGCAAACCAAATAAGAATTTCAAGACAGAATGCCTGCAGTGCTTTTGATTGTGAATATTTCTTGTGGCCCTGCGCTATCTGCTGTGTCATCTTCTTAATGGGGCAGCCAGCAATTGGTTGGGCCTTATATGTTGGGATTGTCTCACTGATGGACAGCCTCCCTCGAGACACCTCTAGAGAATTTGGTATGATATTACTCCCTATAAGCATAAGTTCACGTGACTTTACTTTTGTTTTCTCAAAATGACTCGTACCAATAGAGATAATATTTCTTATTTATAACATCCATAATTTTCTTCTTGATCGGTCAGTATAATATTACTACTCTCAATAATTTTCAACATTAAAAAAAATTCTTGAGATGGTCGTATAAACTTTTAAAATCTTATAGTTATATTATTAGACCATTAAAAAGAAACATGAAACATGTACGTCCCCTGGTATAAATAATAATTATGGAACTCCCTAAAGGTTAAAAAGATAAAAATAATTTTAAAAAAAAATGTGAAAAATGAGGCAAAATTTAGAGTTACCCAAAATGTTATAAATATACGTAAATATCTTTGTTGGATCATAAATGATCTACGAAGATATGGTTAAAATTTTGGATTTTGTAACGGAAATTTGTACATTAAAACCAGACAAAATCATAAACTGAACCAAAAAAAAAAATAGAAAAACCCTTTTTGGTGCTGTCAATATCAATCCATAATAGTCAAATCCGTTTCTAAAAGCAGGGTTTTAGTTTTTTGTTGCTTCACTCTGTTGCTTGGTTAAAGAAACAAACAAGTTATGTAACGAACACAAATCAAATATATAATTTAGAAAGCAAACCCAAGCTTTCATCATTCTGTAGCTGACTTCCTCTGCATCTTCTTCTAGTTTCTTCATTGTGATCTTGATCATATTAGCCATGAAGTTGAAACAGAATCTGACGAAATCCCTTGTTCCACGCTCAGAGCCAAATCTTAGGGGTACAACTTGTATTGATTTTCCATTTCATGTAAACTCCAGGGGTTTATGGGTAAAGCTCAATGACCCCCATTGGTGGCTCAACAACTCTTTGCCTCTGCTCGAGCTTCAGTTGATTTTGTTTTGCTTTGCCTTGGTATTTGCACATCACTTTCTCAAGCGTTTCGGGTTCTCCAAGATTTCCTCCCAAATTCTTGTAAGTACACACACAACTTCCACTTCTTCCCTCAACAATTAATCAAATCAAATCAAATCAAAATTATTGATATGGAATATGAATCCGCAGCTGGGATTGGCAATTGGGTGTTCGTGGAATCAATGGGACGACGCCAAATCAAAGCTTTTTGGCGTGGGGAGTCAAAACGTGCTTGTATTACTCACAGATTTTGGCTACGCATTGTACTTATTTCTAAGTGCAGCAAAAATAGACGTAACAAGGTCAATAAAAACAGGGAAAAACTCGTTACTCATAGGAATTCCAGCCGTAATGGCCCCTCTACTCATAGAAGGTTTTGTTCGGAATGGCCTTTACGGTGACACCCATTTAACAAGGAAACAAAAGGCAGCCCTCCCCATCTTGATGGGGTTTCATGGGATGACTTCATTTCCCGTTGTTGCTTCCCTTGTAAGCGAGCTTCAAATTGTGAACTCAGAGTTGGGGCGTTTAAGCCTTTCATCCGCCTTGGTCAGTGACATTTTTGGTGTCTTAATTATGATCGCAGTCGGCCAGGCCAACAGATTCAACAACAACCCTTCAAAAGCCTCAGCTGAATTGAGTTGTTTATTGCTGCTATTTCTTCTGGCTGTCTTTGTGTTTAGGCCTGCAATGCGTTGGATCATCAAACAGACGCCTGAAGGAGCGCCTGTGAATAGCTCTTACATTCAACTCGTTGTTTTTTTGGCTCTGCTTTCCACCGTTTTGGCAAGCTTCACGGGCCAGTCTCCCATTATAGGCCCTTTCATTTTTGGGTTGGCTGTTCCCGATGGAGCTCCTTTAGCATCAACGCTTGTGGACAAACTGGAAACCCTTGTTTCAGATATGTTTATGCCTATTTTGATCACTACTTGTGCTTTGAGAGTGGATTTTTCAAAGATTTCAGCCGCTACTTTTCACAATGGTTTCACTAAAATGAACATAAGTCTCATATGTGCGGCTGTTGGTATCAAATTTGTGACCGGTGTTGTGTCTTCCAAGTATTGCAAGTTTCCCTTCAAGGATGCTTTGACAATATCTCTCATTGTGGGCTGCAAAGGCTCTGTGGAATTGGTTTCCTACAGAATAGTGAGAGACTACGATGTATGTATGCAATTAATTTCTTCTCCATTTCATTTGGTGCGTTTACTTTACAAGATTGTGTGGCTTAAAAGTGTGGATTTAAACGCAGGGAATTGACAACGGGCTATATGTGACCTGCACTGTATGCATCTTAATTATAGCAACATTGGTGCCAGCTGCAGTGAGATGCTTGTATGATCCTTCAAGGAGATATGCAGGGTTTCAGAACAGGAACATCATGCATTTGAATCCCTCCTCTGACCAGCTTCGACTGCTCGCCTGCATTCATCGGAACGAAAACATTACTGCCATTCTTCATCTTCTGAATGTCTCGTGTCCTACCCTGGTCAGCCCGCTCACCGTTCATATATTCCATCTGATCGAGCTCCCTGGTCGGACCGCCCCCATCTTCATTTCTCACAAACAGCAAGACGACCCCCTCAACAACCACTCTTACTCTGGACAGATAATTAATTCTTTCGATCGGTTTGAGAGAGACAATGAAGGGACAGTGTACGTTGAATGCTTCACGGCAGTCTCACCATGCACGGTCATGCACGACGAGGTATGCACGCTGGCGCTCGACAAGATCGCATCACTTATAATACTTCCTTTCCATATAACATGGACTGTGGATGGTTTTATCGACCAAGATGACCAAAAGATCAGGAAATTGAACTACAACGTGCTTGAAAAGGCTCCTTGTTCGGTTGGCATCTTCGTCGACCGGGGAAATTTAGGACGCTTCAGAGCAATGGTATGGTCGTCGGAAATGATATGTAGTTGCTCAGTGTGTGTGATCTTCGTGGGAGGGAAGGATGATAGGGAGGCAATATCATACGCCAAACGCATGGTAAGCGACTCGAGAGTCAGGCTGACGGTGCTTCGACTGCGGGCGCCAATGGAAGATCAAAACGGATCAAAGTCACGCCAGACCTGGGAAGACAGAGTTGATGGAGAGGTTGTTAAAGATTTTAAATCCAAGTGTTTGGGAGATGAAAGAGTGGTGTATTTGGAGAATGTGTGCAGAGATGGACAAGAAACCGCATTCATTCTTAGAAAAATAGCCGACAGGTTTGATCTTATCATAGTGGGAAGAAGAAATGGGCTACAATCTCCTCAAACTGCTGGCCTTGATGAATGGAATGAATTCCCAGAGCTTGGCCTCCTTGGAGATTTGATTGCTTCAACTGATATCAACACTAGAGCTTCTCTGTTGGTAATGCAACAACAACAGATCAGATGATCAGATTCATACTCACACACACACACACACACACAAATTCACTCATTATTTCATTTCTTATCAATTTTTCCGAACTCCATTCATAATTCTAGGATTAATGATTGTTTCATGTTTGTGTTTAGTGTTTCTTTTCCTCTAACAAATACTCTCGAACACGCTAACTTGACCATAGTTCAAATAGTTACAATATCGGTAACTTTTTTAAACGGGTTTGGATTCTCACCTTCATTCGAAAAAATATCGAGACAACCTTAAAAACATTGAAATCTAAATGTTTTTTTAAATCTGTAATGACAAATAAAAGCAAAGATCATGAAAGGGACAATTTTCAATGTGGAAATTGAGAGATGAATGTGACAAACAAGTTGGGGAGCATAAGTTTGATCAAACAAATAATATATATATATTTTTGAAAGGAAATAGTGTTTTCATTATTAACATGAATTTCTAAAACAGAACTGTCTCTTTGCAGATTTCAGCTTTGGAGAAACCAAAAGCCAAAAATAATAATAATAATAATTAGTAGTGAAATGTTTTTGTACATCGCTGTCTCTTAGGTCAATTTTGCTCAAAATTATCTGTTTGAAAATAATAGAGAATATGCTGAACATCCTCTTTGTTGATAAGCTAATTTTTTCCTTGTTCTTCACAACCTAGGATTAAACGTCATCCTTCTCATCATTCCCTCACTTTGCTTTCAATGCTTTTAATCACTATAAAAATGGCTACAAATCAACACTCACTAACCTCACCAAGCACTACAATTCAGCTCTCATCCACCCTCCTCCCTCTTGAATATCATGGCCATCGCCGTGCTCGATGCCCTCGACAACGCTCGGACACAATGGTACCATATTACCGCCATAGTCATTGCCGGGATGGGCTTCTTCACCGACGCCTATGATCTTTTCTGCATCTCAACCGTGTCGAAGCTTCTCGGTCGACTTTACTACTTCGATCCAGATAGTTCGAAGCCGGGAAAACTTCCGAACGCAGTCAACAATGCTGTCGTTGGAGTTGCCCTGGTTGGAACCCTGATGGGGCAACTTTTCTTTGGGTGGTTGGGTGACAAACTTGGGAGGAAGAAAGTCTATGGTGTTACCCTTATTCTTATGGCCTTTTGTGCCATTTGCTCAGGGTTGTCCTTTGGATCAACATCAAAATCAGTGATTGGTACCCTTTGCTTCTTTAGATTTTGGCTTGGATTTGGCATTGGTGGCGACTATCCCCTTTCAGCCACCATCATGTCTGAATATGCTAACAAAAAAACTCGAGGGGCTTTCATTGCAGCCGTCTTCGCCATGCAGGTTCAATTCTTCCTTCTCTAGTATGATATTGTCCACTTTGAGCATAAGATCTCGTGACTTTACGTTTGAGCTTCTCCAAAAGGCCTCATATCAATGGAGATGTATTCCTTACTTATAAATTCATGATCGCCAATGTGGTATGATGTGATTTTGTTTGTATAATGATTTGATTATATGTATTGGATGCAGGGTGTGGGGCTGATATTCGCAGGGCTTGTGTCAATGATTCTATCAAAAATCTTCGTGTCCCTTCACGACGCTCCTTCCTACAAAAGCAACCATGTATTTTCCACACAGCCTCAAGGGGACTTCCTATGGCGGATTGTGTTAATGCTTGGTGCTTTGCCAGCCATCTTAACATACTATTGGCGAATGAAGATGCCTGAGACAGGGCGCTACACCGCCCTTATTGAAGGCAATGCCAAGCAAGCGGCTGCAGACATGGGGAAGGTGTTAGAGATCACAATTCAAGCCGAACAAGACAAGCTTTCTAATTTCAAATCCGCCAATGAATATGGATTGGTGTCTAAGGAGTTCTTTCACCGCCATGGGCTCCATTTGATAGGCACCACCACCACATGGTTCTTGTTGGACATTGCGTTTTATAGCAATAACCTTACACAAAAGGACATCTTCCCAGCAATGAATTTGACAAAGAAACCAGAAGAAGTTAGCGCATTGGAAGAGGTTTATGAAACATCAAAGGCTATGTTTCTTGTTGCATTACTTGGCACATTCCCTGGATATTGGTTCACTGTGTTCCTGATTGAGAAGCTTGGAAGGTTCAAAATTCAATTGATTGGATTCTTCATGATGTCCATTTTCATGGCGGTCCTCGGCATTCGCTACAATTATTTGAAGAATCATCCCGCCGAGTTCGCCCTCCTTTATGGCTTGACGTTCTTCTTTGCCAACTTTGGTCCCAATAGTACCACCTTTGTCCTCCCGGCCGAGCTCTTCCCAACACGGGTTCGGTCGACGTGCCATGCGCTAAGTGCAGCGTCGGGGAAGGCCGGTGCCATCGTTGGAGCTTTCGGGGTGCAAAACTATACGTTAGATGGTAACCCTAGCAAGATTCAAAAGGCCATGATTTTCTTAGCCTTCACCAACATGCTAGGGTTTGTGTTTACATTCTTGGTGACCGAGACGAAAGGCCGATCATTAGAGGAGATCTCCGGCGAGGACGGGGGCGCCGGTGAGCCAGAAACTCAAATGCCAGTGAGATCAATGGGAAAGCCAGGAGCTCAAATGGAAGAAGAAAATTGATGATATTTGTGTTCCAACTTAAAAATTAGGGTTTTGTGATGATGTTTAAGATATTATCTTGTGTGTTTTTGTTTGTGAAGTATATTTATGTGAACAAATAAAGAGTAAAAGGCTTGTTGTTAGTAATGTTCTTTGAAGATTAATGTCTGTAATCTTTGTAATAATTGTTATCCAACACCAAATTTCTTACTTTCATTCCTTTCCTTTCCTTTCCTTCCCTTTCGAGATTGGATCAATCAAACATCCCAACGTAAATATTAAAATCTCTCTTGCAAAGAATAATAAATTTTTTAGAATTTCGATGAATTTAAATATATGGAGTAGATAAAACATTAATTATCATCTCCTAAAATAAAAAAAAAAAATTAAAAAAATTGAATTTTTGGCATTTGGTGGCAGATGGAGGGAGGTAAGCGAATACGGGCCGAGTTGAGAAGAAAATCCAACAAAATTGGAAATGTTTGGGCCGAAAATCCAACAAAATTGGAAATTTCTGTGGCCCAAAACCAATCCAAACAACTTCAGATACCTTTCCCCATTTCTGCTCCATCCTTCTTCTTCCTTTCTATTTTCATTTTCTCTCTGTTTCCCTCCATGAAATGGGACATGGAGATCGAGGAAATCGAGGTTATCCTCGAGAAGATTTGGGACCTTCACGACAAGCTCAGTGAAGCAATTCACTCAATTTCCCGACATCACTTCCTCACCTCCACCAAAAATCTCAGGAAATCGGACAACAAGGATTCCAAGACCCCCAATGGCGTACCCGACACTGCCGCCTTCCCTTTCATCAACGAATTTCGTAATGACCTTGATGATTCTGCCACTCAGGAGGCTAGAAGCCTAAATGCCATTCGAACTGCGCTTGAGAATCTCGAAGATCAGCTCGAGTTTTTCCATGTATGTTCACTTTTCTTTCCTTTTTTTTTTTTTCCCTATTTCGCGCGCCTTCTTTCATTCACCTAATTTTATCACTCTCAGTGAGTAATTTGAAGGAAGCCACAACAGGAAAACATTGATTCGATCTTATTCTGGGGATTCCCTACCTCTTTAGCTATGTTTAGGATTCAATAATGCTTTCCAATTGGAATTAAATCGCTAATTTATGATTTTCTGTGTTTTCTGCTGTCTGGAAGACTGAAAGGAACGACTATTAGGTTCACTATTCCTTGGCTTCCTTGATTTTTGTTATACGTCATTATCCAATTAGCCAAAATATGGGATAGAGTATGAATTTCTGGTAGCGTCTGCTTAGTTTAATCTCTGGTTATTGGAAGCTTGTGTAAATTATGATTTCAGGGAGTCTTGCAGGATTGTCCTTTTCATTTTTATGTTAAAATTTTACGCTCAGTACGATTAGGTCTAGCAATTAGCCGCACAACTTTCCATTTTGATTTTCGAATAATGAAAAGATGTAATCACACAACACGGCTCTGTAAATCTATTCGAAATGATGAACAGATTCATATCAAATTTTGACAACTGACTCAGCGAATTCTTTCATTATGTTTGTAGACCGTGCAAGTGCAACAGCAGGTTGAGAGAGATGCTGCAATTGCACGACTAGAGCAAAGTAGGATTGTTCTTGCAATGAGATTGGGTGATCATCATGGCAAGAACTATAAAGTCATCAATGAAGCTTTAGCGTTTGTTGGAGATGTGCGTTATGCAGCTAACTATAATTCACATGAAAATCAATATGGTCAGAAGCCTGTGCCAAACAGTTCAAAGAGATCTAATACTCTGATCAAAATGCTACTCTCATCTCTCAACTTTGCAAGGACATCCCTCAAAATGGATCATGTGAGCGGGGCACTTGGCAATGCTGCCATGGTTGCGATTAGCATGCTTGCATTTCTGCATCTGCACCAGGTGGTAGCATACAAGAAGCCACAGCTTGAGAGACATGATATTCCCTTCAACAGAAACCTTCCAAGAACTTCACGGCTCCAGGAGTCTTCCCCAAATGAAGATTTCAGCAACTTTGACGTGTTATCCGCAAGGGGTTAGTGTGAATATTCTAAACTTATCAAGCTTTGGTGCATCTCATATGAGTTCCATTAAATGTCAGCGAGTCAAATATGATAATGTCTGGTGTATGAAATTTTTTCGATTGATTTGTTAGAAGATTCTTCATCATTCTTGAGTTTGGATAGAGTTTTAAACCAGGTCCAATAAGTTTATAGTACAACTTCTAGCTTGCCAAGATTGCAATCCTCTACCTAGGTTGGTGTCCATTGACGACCGTAAGAACAAACTATAGAGAATCTACCCAATGGCCCAAAAGAGATGAGGAACTATACATGATCAAAGAAGAACGAAAGTCCACCGCTAGCCTATATTGTCTTTTTTAGGCTTTCCCTTTTGAGCTTCCCCTCAAAGTTTTTAAAACGGGTCTACGAAAAAGTTTTCACACTATTATAAAGAATGTTTCGTTCTCCTCCCTATCCAATGTGGGATCTCACAATCCACACCCATTTGGAGCCCAACGTCTTCACTAGAATTGATGTGAGATCTCACACGTTTATTTGAAAAATCGAAACTTCCTCGACGATGTGTCTGAACAAAACTTGCGTTCTTTGTCGAGGGTAGATGAAAGGGGAAGAGTGAAAATTAGAAATTCATAATGAAAAGATATGTGGGCGGAGTGTTTGATATTGATTTGGTTTTCTAAGGCTCTCATGGCATCTAATTTGAACGCATGATTTGTAAGCGTGCTTTCTTAGGCTTTCTTTGACCTGTCTAACTTCAAAGGTTACATGCCATCGCTCTTAATCTTCTCACCATTTTCTTCCACCAATCACTCCCAAATTAATCTCTCTTTTAACGCAACAAAAACATTCCTTTCTGTCCACATCAAGAACAAAGATCTCTAGAGACGCAGACAGAGATATCCTTTTATGCCAAATCCCCCTTACCAAATCCCCATTTGTGAGCCATTCTTTCTCCTCCTTTTACGACAAGTGAATCTTAGAGTTGAGCTTCCTTCTCGGTGGGTGGATCTCATAATGTTAGATTTCATATCGGTTGAAGAGGAAAACAAAACATTCTTTATAAGAGTGCGAAAACATCTTTCTAATAGACGTGTTTTAAGAATCGTGTGGATAATATCGACCCGCTGATGAATTTGAATGGTTACCCATAATGAAGGGTATGGATGTTGTTCCAAATGAGTGAATATAATTTTAGGAAAAATAGTATAGAAAGGAGAGAAAAAAAAGACCAAAATTAATGTATATTTAGAATAAGAACAACATCCACCAACAAAGACATTGAATTCTCTTTCCCATAAAACCCCTTTGCTGTCGGAGGCAAAATGGTCCCATGCATTGCATTGAATGACACATTGGTACCTGATTTTCATTTTAAATTTTGTTTATTAGACTATATGGAAGCCACGTGTGTAGTGATTAGGCATGCTGAGTATTGATGGTACTGCCACGTGTAGCAAAATTAGGGGACAAAGGTAATTACCCCTCACATGTTACTTATCTGACAGACACCATCTCTTCCTGTTTTCTCCAACCTTAATTATATCCCTTTGTTTTCCAATTTACTTCTTATGCTGGGTCCCACCAGAGCGGGGCATCCAGTCAATCAAATTAACCTTTTTTTTTATTACTTTTAACAATAAAGCTCATAATAATAAAATATGAAATATTCAAATTAACCAAAAAAAATATCATCAAGGGTTTTGGTCACATGTGTATTGACCTAGGATAACAGGTAAAGAAAAAGACACGAATTTCATAGGTCCCACAAAGGGTTGCCGTACGTTTAGATTTTGATCCGGTTGGACCAACCCGGGCTCTACGTATAGTGTGAAGGAGGAAGATCAAAACCCCTCATCCAAACCAATTGATAGTTCCACTAATTATGCATGAACCCCCCGACCCGACCCTACAAACCACCGGGTCAACTCAACCTCGGCCCAAAATATCGTCGGTTTTTTTTATTTATTTTTATTATTATTTTTGCATTCAAAACCCTTTTCAAGGTTCATGTAATGTAATTATTAAACTCTTCCCTTTTCCTTTTTTTTTTTTTTCTACCTTTGGAAGTTTTCAGATTGTGAAGATGATGTCGAAAGTGACAATTCACGTCAAAATTTTGTTTCATACTACTTACCCTTTCAATGTTAATTCCTTTTATTACTTTTATATTTTTTTATCTTTTACTTCAAACCATTAATTAACCACGTTCCATAAGATTAACAAGATTAAAAACTCAAAATTGTAACAGTTCAAACTCCACTGCTAGCAAATATTATCCTCTTTGAACTTTCTCTTTCGAACTTTCCCTCAAGGTTTCTAAAACGCATACGTTATGGAGAGGTTTATCCACTCTTATAAAGAAGGTTTGTTATTTCCTTAACTGTTGTGGGATCTCATGTGTCAAATACAATTAGTCCATCTTTAAAGCATCCAAATATAATTCGAGCCAACATAGGAACAAGAGTAGGTAGCTAGTATAGCGTAGGTGGAAGAAAGAAGTAGCTAGTATTCGTATAACGTATGTGGAAGAAAGAACGTGGCTAAAAGGACAAAGAAGGACAAAGAAAATAAATATATATTTTGATTTGGACGACAGAACACACAAAGTGTTGTCGTTGTTGAAAAATAAATGTTGAAATTGAATAGCGAAAGAGAGCAACAAAGTGTTGTTTAATTCACAAAACAACTACCAAACAAACAACAATTTGGTCCTCTCTCCCTCCTCCTTTCCCCTCCAGCTTGTCTTCTTCTTTTTTTTTTTTTTTTTCTTTTTTTTTTTTAATTTCTAAACAAGGTTCAATTTTAATATAATTTTCTAAAAAAATAAATCAGTTAGCTCCCATAAATAGGGTCTCTTATTCCTTCTTTGGCCTTTCTAATAATTGAATATTGCTTTTAATTCTAATAAATGAATTATAATTATATATTATATATATATATATGAAGGGAATGATGAGAAAGGTTAATAATTATTACCACAACTAGCATGTCATAAATCGTCCATCGCAAACTTTGACTAATCATTCTAAACTAAGAGATCAAAAATAAATTAAAAAATAAAATAAATAATAGCAACCTAAAATATTTAGTTGCTTAATTAATTAATTTTTTTGATTAATTAGTACTACTACCCTCACGTGATGGGGGCAGGCTGATGACATGAGACAGAAGATAACTACAATCATAGTATGGAAATGTTTTTTTTTAATTAATTTCTACAATTAATTAAAAATGTACAAAAACAGTTCTTGTAAGAAAAGGAAATTAAATTAATTATTTTACAATCATATTGTCATCATTCTTTTATATATGAATATATAATTAAAAAATAAAATATTTGTAGGTGAATTGAGGGGAGGATTATTAATGGGGTGAATTGTAATAATATTGGAAGACAGAAAATTGAATATTATTGTGCTGAATAACTCAATTATTTAATGAATATAAAAGATGTACCAACAAAAATAAAAGCAAAAATGTAAATGCATCATAAATTTATACAAAAATTAAATAAATAAATAAAAGACCATTCAAAATTTGTGTGTGATAGGATGAATGTTATTAATATCAACATACTGCGTATTTAATGGCACCATAAAGTCTCTTCAGGATGAGAATTATTTGTGGGTTTATATTTTCTTTTCATTTAAATTATTCGTCTCCATTTTTATATTTTTAAATAAATAAATGTCAGAAGAGGAGTACTAAATAATCAAATATTGTACTATTTCCTTTTCCCTCTTTTTTTTCTTAAATAAAATAAAATGAATGTCCTTTTTTCATATATAATATAAACCCAACCGAATAAAAGCAGAAATTTAATATACCATATATACCAAATTAAATTAATTTAAAGCTAAAATTTATTAAGCTCTTTTTCATAATTAAAAGTTCAAATTTCTTGTTTCAAATCTAAAAATTTAATAGATTATTTACATAGAAAGTCAAACCTACCATTTGACTTTTCAAATTATGCTTACATCATGTTAATATAAATGGCCAAACGTTATTTAATTTTTTCTATCATATAATATACGAATAAAACATTAAAAATTTAGTATTATACGAAGAGAGAAAATCTTAGACATAATGATTAATAGAGTGGGGGCGTAATGTTATTTTATGTTTTATTTTTAGGAAGGGAAAATAAAAAATGTGAGATTTTGTTTGAGTAATATTGAAGCAAAATAGGAAGGACAGAAGTTGTCCCATGGGACGGTCTCTCCCTCACACACAGACACAACATTGATTCTAAAATATAATTATTAATATAAACATTCATTAAATTAAAATACCTTCAATTTTATTCCAACAATTACTTAATTACAATTATGGCCTTACAATATCATTGTGCATGCCTTGTGCACGTGAGCCCTGTCCATATTTATGGTATCTCTCCTCAGAAAATTCGAAGAAATTATTCGGATTTAACGTTGACTATAAATTAAAATCAAAATAAGGGAATTTATTTTCAAATTAAGTGGATTTAAATTGTGATTTAAGAGTGGCGTTACCTTAATTTATTTTATTTTTCCTAAGAACGAAAATATTTATATTATATATTTAAAAAAAGAAAAAAGAAAAAAAAAAAGAGAGAGGGATTTTGTGTACGTTGACATTTTGTTAGTGAATTAATGGCAATTGGTGGATTAGCATTAATCACTCCTAATCACACCAAATTATGTTAAACTAACGCCCCTTTTATCTCCTTTCCAAAAACAACATTATTATTTATTTATTATCATAAATAATTCTTATAATTAGCAACTTTTTTTTAATATTATTTTTAGATTTATGTATTTAAATTGTGAAGGGAGAAAATTACGGAGAAAATTGGCGATATTATAATTATACAGAGCTCTTCTACATTATACACTCTTACGACCAACACTAATTATTGATTTAAATAAAAATAAAAAAGGAAAGAGAAATTAAAAAAAAAATTAAAAAGAAGATATCTCTAGCAAAACTGGTCCACTCAACTTCCCAGAATATGTAAATAGGTAAGGAAAAGTATACCCAAAAAAAAAAAAAAAAAACGAAAAAGTCGCAAAAATAGCCTTTTTTTGAGAGATGCGCCATGGAAACAAAATTCCGCCGACATAACGGTGGAGCCGGTGGTCCAGCACCACCGACTGCCCGGCGCTCCACCGCTTACAGAACCACCAAGGGGTCTGATCCCATCAAAATATCTTGGAAATAGTCGTCGCCCCCTTGGCTGATCGGAGATGATAATAAGGGGGTTCCGAAATCTTCAGGCAAATTAGTGAAAAATTCACTGAAATCTTCGTTCCATATGCTTTCTTCGAAGAATAGAGGCTGTTCGTCGACGAAGATCGGCGGTTCGGGGATCGGAAGTTTGAAGACGTCGTCGAATCTGGGGAACTCGGTGTAATACTCCTCGGAAAGAGTAGTTTTGACTTGACGTTCGTGGAATTGATCGTCGGCGAACGGCGGCGGTGGTTGCTGAGACTCATCGGGCTTTTGGGGCTTTTCGGTTTCTTCTGGCGACGACGTTCTGAAGTGGAGAACCGAAGTCGGAGATGACAAATTGTGAGACTCCTCACTGGAATCGTAATAGGAGCCGGAAACAGAGGCGATATTGGCCACTTCAACTTCCTTCTCCGGCATCGGCACCGATGATGGAGTTGCAAAGTTCGTCAAAGCGTCCGGTCCCCGAAGCTGAATGGCAGCGTTGTCATACACCATCGCGGCTTCCTCCGCCGTGTCGTAGGTCCCGAGCCACAGACGTACACGGCGGGCAGGATCTCTAATCTCCGCCGCCCACTTACCCCAAGGCCGCTGACGTACACCACGAAACTTCTTCCCATTCGTTGCCGGAACCACCTTCCCCGAACGCCGGGAGTCTGATTGCTCACCAGCAGACCTCTTCCGGCAACTGGGTAAAAGGCTATTTCGACACCCACTTTGGATTTTGATCTCATTGATGTACTTCTTCACTCTCTGCCGCTCGAACAACTCTTCCTCATCGCTCGACGAATCCGTCGCATCAGGGTCCGTCACCGATATCCGTACAACTCTACTTTCCGATTGGTGATGTTTTTTGAGGGAAAATTTGCTGGTGAAGTTGCGGTGCTCCGTAACTTTAACAGGACAAAACAGAGTATCCTCCATGGCAGATTCAGCATCAAACTCCGGGAGCAATGGGGATTTTTATAAAATGACAAGGGGAGAAAAGGGTAAGTCAAAAACCAGACAGTGTTTCGATTTTCTGGATTCACACTGACGAAAAAGAAACGAAAAACGGCACAGTGAGGAACACGCTTGCTGTGACCCTTTTCCTGTTTTGTAGGACTGTTGAAAATGGGTTTATTTTTGGGTCAAAATCTGAAAAGGGTTTTTAGGGTATGGAAGAAGGAGGAGAAAGAGAAGGGTTTTTGGGAGTTGCAGAGTCTGTGAAGAAGAAGAAGAAGAAGAAGAAGAAGAAGAAGAAGGTCCGTAGAAGTACTTATGGAAAGAGAGAGTGGCTCAGTAAGAGTACTGTTACTGTTAGAGTGTGCGGCAGAAGGAAAAGAAAAGATCTCTCATAAAACCACCATAGGAATGGAATTCAGAACACTGAAATCGCTGTTTTATAGGATCCCAACGCCCCAATTTGGCAACTCTACAATACAAACCCCCCCCCCCCCCCCC